ATGTGCTGGCAGGCGCGTCCAATCATCAGAGGCGGTTCGGTGTCAAATGATCCTTCCTCGGCAATCAGAAACGGTTCGATTGATCGGCGCGTCCTACTCAGATCAGTCAGATCCGCGCCGATCTCCCAGAGAGGGTCAGAGGTGGCTCAGCACTAACAAGTACATCATGCCCAGGGTGGATGAGGGGGGGTCAGTACTGCAACTCTTCCTTGGATGATCAGAGACAGATTAGTACTGGCTGATACCTCCTCCGGCTGACAATCTGTCAAGCATTTCATGACTGCCAGCTCACGATAAACTTTGATATGAACTTAATGTAGACGCCCGCCTTTCGACATTTCGGCACGAAATTTTTGTTGTCAGGTCTCGTGCTTGTGGAAAGGCAGGGCACGGGTCTGTGGGCAAGGATGATACAGTACGTTCATGCGTGATTTCCTTCATCATGTAAAACAAGCGGCCAAAATGTGATCATGGTATTCATGTAGACATCACACAATTTACGCGAAGGTGTTACATCTAAGCAGCAATGCTACCGGTGTATTGTTCACACCTGGCACCACACCGGCACGCGTTGACGTGGATAATATCTATTTCCACCACATTAAACACCTTGTTCCCAAATTCGCAAATAGGGCGGCCGAAATCAGGGGATAGAAAATGGGTGGATGACGGGGCAGCGATGACAAGTCGTATTTGTTTGCCCTTCCCCTAAACACCCTTTGGAATCGTTTCCGCGGGCCTGGTGAGGACTTCGACGACTGCACCGACGATAACATACTCAGTCATTCTAACTCACAACGTTACAGCTCATGACCATGACTCATTCTTCGGGAGTCACCACCTGATCTCGGGAGTCACCGCTAAAAGTTATGGAACAGCAGCGAGCCCACGCCCGCATTCCGAACATGATCACCCACAACCTGCCTCAAACTGGCTGCACGACAGTCAGCGCCGAGCTTCCACGAATGTCCCGGAAAGTTCGCCGATTGATTACTGCATGGGGATGATTAACCCCATATCAGCTTCACCAATCGCTTCGCAAGTACACGAGCACGACTTCCCGCAGTGGGCGGCCAAGACGGTTCTTCCGAAGTACATCTCAGCTCGTGGTGCAATCGTCTGTTTATCACATATGCAGCACTTGGGTGGCGTCTACCGTCTCGTAAGCGCTACCCAGGCCCAAGCTAATGTCATGTCATACCAATGCCATAGAATCCTCACAAAGACTCCACTCTAGCGTAGATAATATCCGCTTCTGGGCGACACAGCCGGTAAAAGCTCATCACGGCGGAGGACGAGCGGGGAACACTCCACGTGAGCCTTGGCTTCACGCAAACAAAGCCCACGACGCTTCGGGAATCCGTAACAAAGTGGACCAATCAATGCTCTGTGATGTCCGTGTTTCACAAGTGTAGCGGGCGGAACTGTACTGTCGCTTTCGCGACCTAATTCACCACGGCAATGACAATGTTTGAAGATTGGATAGCTATGGGCATGGTAGACCAGCCATTTCAGACACACGCGGGTGGGAGAAAGACTTCCAGTTTTCGGTGGCTGAGACCAAAGTAAAACAGATAAAAATACGCGCATCCTTCTGGTGTGTATCGGTCAGTCAACCGGACTAAACACCAGTGTAGTTTGCGTGGCACTACTCATCTCGCTTCAGGTCACAGCGTGTTGTGTTCAACACCGGTCCCGAAAGATTACTGACGATTTCCACGCTATATAGCAAAGAACGTCAAGTGACATGCAGACGGAAGTAGCCGCCGAGTGGTTGGCTTCACATCACAGTCTGCTTTGGTTGCCAGGATCGCACATCAGTCCTTCGAGGACGGCCGCGGCCGTCGGCGCGCCCTTAAACTCTAACAGCAGGACGGCCAGCTGAGAACACGTGACGACCCGCGCACATCGAGTGACGCCTGGTCAGTATGACCGCCGCTTCGCGCCTCCGTCGAATGGTGGCCGTCTCGTGCCTGCTCCCCACTCCTGGACCAG